CATTGATTTCAATAAGTTTAAGCCTGATTAATGTTGTGTTGCATTGTGCCCACTGAGTTTATGGTTTAAAAGAACATGCTAAGTTCTATTTGAACAGAGAATCTAAATAATTTATTAAAACATGTAAGTACAGTTTTGCTTGGATGCACTTTTGTTTGAAATAAATGACATATTTGAAGATTTAGTTTGTATAATTGTTTTTAGACAAAACGGACTGCTGTCCCTTGTTTACTTTATAAGGTCTTTCTACTAAGAAAACTTCAATGAAATTACATTTGTTGTTGTTGTTCAGTCGCAGTGTCGAGTCCGACTCTTCGCGACCCCATGGACCACATCACGCCAGGCCCTCCTGTCTTCTGTCGTGCTCCGGAGTTTGCTTAATTTCATGTTCATTGCCTCAATAACACTGTCTAACCATCTCATCCTTTGCCGTCCCTTTCTTCTATAACCTTCTATCTTTCCCAGCATCAGGGTCTTCTCCAGTGAGTGCTCCCTTCTCATTTGGTGGCCAAAGTATTTGAGCTTCAGCTTCAGTATCTGGCCTTCCAGGGAACAATCAGGGTTGATTTCTTTTAGGATTGACTGATTTGATCTCCTTGCAGTCCAGGGGACTCTCAAGAGTCTTCTCCAGCACCATAATTCAAAAGAATCTATTCTTTGGCGCTCGACCTTCCTTATAGTCCAACTCTCACAGCCATACAGTACTACTGGGAATACCAATGCTTTGACCATACTGACTTTTGTTGGCAGGGTGATGTCTCTACTTTTTAATATGCTGTCTAGGTTTGCCATTGCTTTCCTCCCAAGGAGCAGGCATCTTTTAATTTCATGGCTGTGTCACCATCTGCAGTTACCTGGGATCCCAGGAATGTGAAGTCTGTCACTACTTCCACGACTTCCCCTTCTATTTGCCAAAGAGTGATAGGGACGGATGCCATGATCTTAGTTTTTTTGATGCTGAGTTTCAAGCCAACCTTTGTGGTCTCCTCTTTTATCCTCAGCAAGAGACTCTTTAGGTCCTCTTCACTTTCTGCCATTAGAGTGGTATCGTCTGCATATCTGAGGTTGTTGATCTTTTTCCCAGCAATCTTAATTCTGGCTTCTGAATCATCCAGGCCGGCATTTCGCATGATGTACTCTGCATATAAATTAAATAAGCAAGGGGACAATATACATCCTTGTCGTACTCAGGGGTCATTTCATAGAAAAAGAGCTAGGGGAACT